CCCCCCTGAGAATGGCATCAATGAGCTATGATGATCAGATTGATGACATGTAGGACTGCTGGTGCTGGTGTGTATCTCCAGGTATGATTATAAATAGGCATCGATCGTGCTTCATCTCCATTCACATGGTATGATCCTGGATCAGCCTATGGAAATCTGCCACCACAAGAAGCAGAAGAGGAATGACGGCTGAGATCGGGCATGAACCCGAGCAAATCAATGAGATCAGACCGTCCAGTTGATTAGAGACCGGGTACATTGGGCACCATGCCAAGCCCCTCGCCACCAATATAGGGACCTCCCCGGTGAAGAAAAGGTCAGTGCAGCGCCGATGATCAGATATAATGGTATTAGATGAGCAGCGAGCGATGTCAGCCTATAATCCGGCATATGAACACAATGATGAGGATATACACGGCGCTGTGCTCGGTCCCCAGGGTCGTCGTGTGTATTCCGCACACACCCCCACATACACACACAGAGCTCTCCATCCTTCAACCACCCCCCATTGGCATCCATCCGTCCTCTCCACACACCTGAATGTAGTTGTTTTCGCAGTAGTCGGCCACCCTTTCCAAATTGGTATAACTGTCGAGCAGGGCCCGCCGGCCGCCGGGGATCTCCTCCTCCAGCAGCATCTGCAGCTCCGCCATGTTTTTCTCAACACATTCTCCTCCTAGGAGCCCCGCTACACTGCGGAGGGAGAGCGAGGAAAGGCGAGCGCGGGAACGCGCGCCGAATGAAAAAAAAAACCTGAAGGCGCGCTCCCACACTCTCTCAGCAAGGGGGCATGTCCAGAAAGGCGCGCGCCCGGGCTCACAGCTGTGGAGGATGCGATTGCGCCTGCGCAATACAAATGGGGGGTGGGGGCTTTCGTAGGGGGAGCGCGCAATCTTGCCTTCTGCTTTATCGCCGCTTCGTAGGGTTTCCTAGCAACAGAGAGACATTGAGAAAAAGGGGCACGATGGCGGTGACCCGAAGCTCTCCGCTGTCATTCATTTAGAGGGACTGTCCATTTTTTGGAAGCAATGCCTCTTGTCCCTCAATCTTCTTCTCTTTTTGGTCTGGTGTACAAACCACTAAAAACAATATTATATTACACTATTGAAAGTGTAAGGTTCTTTTTTTTTTTTACACAATTGAGGTCTGCGTTTATAACAAGAGTGTTAACACACAAGCGCTGTGTTGAGGCAGCTCATTCACATGAACAGGCCGCCTAACGCACCACAACAAACCAAAAATCAGACCTGCTGCACTTTTACTAGTAAAACCCACCGCAAAACACAGTAGTGCATTACCGCGCGTTGTGAAGGAGCATGTTCACAATAATGTCATCACAGTGCACTAATAAATGTAGCATTCATTACAACAGCTCATTGTTGTGTATGGGCCTTTATACTGTAATAACTCTTTCATTCAACTTCAGCACTGTGATAATTTGACTGACAATTGGTCATGTAAAACCTATAATGAGAGAGCCTGGGGCTGTTGCAGGGATCTCAAGTCTCCCTGATGTTCAGGGAGTCTCCCTCTATTAGATAGCGGCTCCCTGACGTCCGCGAGAGAGGCATTTTCTCCCTGAAAGGTTTACTCTGAGTAAACATTTCCGGTAAGATATCAGTGGGTAAGGTTTCAGAGTGAGGCTTGCCTCCTGGAGGAAGGTCATGTGATCTCTAGAGTGGCCTCAGAACGAGGCTTGGCTCCTGGAGGAAGGTCATGTGATCTCTAGAGTAGCCTCAGAACGAGGCTTGGCTCTTGGAAGGAAGAAGCTACTTGCTGCACAGAGAGGGCGGACATAGACTACTATTGAGAGCAGGTACAGGCACTGCTGCAGGGTTGAGAGAGTGCTGTTAACCCTTTGTGGATAATATAGAATAAATTATATGTCCTGGTTGTCTAGTTATAGATAACATTTATTTATTCTGCTGCCCATAGCAGCCAGTCATCTGTGTATCAGGGACTTTACTCCTCAGCGTTTTTTTAAAAAGGTCTTGGGCTGTCTAATAAATTGTGACCTTTACACTGACAGATACTTGAACATCAATTCACAAATCTGATGTATA